TACAAAAGTAACTTTTTTAAAAAATATCTCTGCACATTTCTAGCAATTTGTATATATTACTGCATTTGTGAGTGGAAGTGCTTAAAATGACTTCCAATAAAGTTTTTCACTCAAAAGATTTCTGTGAAAAGGAGCTTCAAATATCACATTTACAGTAACACTTAAACAATATTTTCTTAAAAACGGCTCCAATGTTTTCAACGAAAATTTCCATGTAGGATGTCATTTTACTCTTCTTTAACATTGTTGAAGTAATGTTTCAATTCTATCTTTTGAAAACTGAGAAATAGAAATAATTTTGAAAAAAAAATTGAGTTTTGGTGACGATAGCTGGCAAGAGGATGGGGCAAGATCATAAAGCTAGCCCAGACCAAATTAGAAACCTAATAGTAAGAGAAAGTCTTTACTATTCTGTAGCACCATTAGTTTATTATTCTTACAAATATTTTGAATATATTAATATATATTTTATTTCATCTTTATTCTTGTTTTTCACCTTTAAAAAAGTAGATTGTTTTCTATGTGCAGGTTTTCATACTCAATGAAACATTCTCTTAATTTGGTTTATCTTTATTGCATTTTAGTTTTGAAATGATCATGGATTTAATTAATTGTTATTCTTTTTTTAGGAACCTTCAAATAATTCCAGCAGTGCCACTAAGTGGTGTGATATTTCAAACATAGATGTTCAGAAAATGCCTGATAGATTGCGACAATTACGTGAAGTTATATTGCAGCAGGAGGCACTTCATAAGGTAGCTTTTCTTAATTTTTTGTTTCGTGCACCAACATTTTATTTTTTCTTTTACTAATTTTGAATTTGTTATCAGTTATTCATTTTGTGATATTGTATTTACTTATTTTCCAGTTACCATTACAGTTACTTATTTTTCTAGTTGATGTTTGAGGCATCCAAAGATTGATATTTGATTGATTTATTAACTGATGTTTTGTTGTTACATTTATTGAATTATTTCTATTATAGGAAGAAATGAAGAAATATCAAAGGAAAATGAAATCCTTAGAAGACAGAGAAATGCAAATTAATCGCAAAATGCTTGAAAATTCACAAGGACAGCAACAAATGAGGTTAAAAAACAAATTTTTTGTTCAAATTGTTTGTATTGCACAAGTATGCATGGAAGTAATACACTTAATTTGTAAACTGAGGAATTTAAGTGAAGCATGATCTATATTACAACTGGATGGTGAACTCTGGGTTAAATATTGAGTATATTTGAAATTTTCCATATTAAAAGAAGTGTGTAGACCGTACATTTTTGCAGATTTTTTTCAATATTCATTACAAGTAATAAATTTACTAGACAGAGTAATTTCAAAGTTGATTCTGTTAAATTATGAAGAGCTTCTCGTTTTAATTATGCAGAATGTATTGAATTAATTGGGGAAAAGGGTAATAATGATAATGATGATGATGAGGATGATGATGATAATGATGATAATGATGATGATAATGATTGTAATAATGATAATGATTGCAGTGAAGATATGTTCATAATAATAACAATAATGATAATGACAATATAAATGTATTTAAAAGACACAGTACATATTAATTGTGTCCTGTTTCAAAATTTTGTCACACATCTGTACACATCTAATAGTGTTTAATTTCAAAAATCGATTTAAAATATTATCTGTTAATGGATGGATACCAGTGATCCCTAGAATTGCAAAAAGCCTATACTTTTGGAAATACAGCAGCATACAGTACTCATTTGACATATACTGTCCAGTTGTGATATGGATTAGAGTAATTGACATACTTAGCCATTCAGTGTTTTTCAAACCTGAGGTACGTTATGTCCTATAATTCTAATATTTCATTTGTTGTTTTAGTTTAATTCTTGAAGAGTACGAGAAAACAATATCTCGACTTGTTGCTGAAAAGGAGCATGAACGACAAGCTTATGATCTAGAGAAAGAGAATCTTATCAAGGAGAAAGATGCAATATCTGGTCATCTTTCAAACATTGAAATTGCTTTCTCTGATGTTCATCAGTACGTATTCTTAGTTATTTTGTAGTTTATTAATAGACCACTCACATTTCCAAAAATACTTCAAACTTCACATTTCCAAAAATACTTCAATGACAAAATATTGAGGTGCACTAGGTCTTCCTCCAAGTGAAACACTCCTTTTTGTTTATCACTGGAGATACTTTTATCACGAGGGTAGAACATTATATAGATTTTGTCTCTTTTTTCCTATGGTACCAATTTCAGGAAGCATTAATTCATAGGTTAAAATAGCCAACCTAAAAGAACTTGCAAATTCTTGTATGTGTAAAAAATTAATTTTACCCTCCTATTGTTGATCAGCAGATGCAGAGACTAACCATACCACACTTAGAAATGTTAGCCTTGCTCCCCAAGGTTAGAGCTGTGCATTGAAGAGTCACTTGATGTGTTAAAAAAATACATCACTGTAATCTCCTCAAATAGATAAATAAACGTTTCCTATGACATTGTGCTGAGAAATGCTTTGTTTCTGCAAAGCAGTTTCTTGAAGATTCTCGTTTTTTAAAACATCCCGAAAGTTGTGCTTATAGTGAATTGAAGCTCCTAGGATAGTTCTAAATATTGCCATTGAGTTCAACAGTGCTTTGAATCTTGAAATTACGTATAAAGTTCTGCTATACAGGCTATAACAAAATCAAAAAATTCCCAAAAACATTTTGGGGGGAATCTTTGCTTTAGAGGCCAAAATGGTAAAGGAATGATTTATTCCTAATAACAGAAGAATCTCTCTTTTATACTTTCGGCAGTAGTGTGTATTCTGGAATACAAGGGCTAGTGGCGATAGCGTGAGAAATTTATGAGAAAAAGTTCTTAAAGATAAATTTCATTAAAAATAATTATTTAATTATAATTATAGACCACATTATTTTTTAATGACAATCATATCTCAAAATTCTACATAGATGTGTTCTGTTGAGCTGTGCATTAAATCGCTTGCTCAACAGCGCATCGGTCCTCTAAGGCGACAATACCATAGAGAACAGTGGAAGCCAGCAACTACTTCTCTGTTGACAGAACCTGCGTTCATTGCATGACCCACGTACACTTCCTGCCGGTAAGATACGGACTACCGAAGAGCTTGCAATACATTAAGAAATAAACAAAAGTGAATGAATATGTTTTTATTGCGTTTGGCTTTGTCATGATGTACTGAACCATGTGTGCTGTCTCAAATGTCAGAGGTTTGGCAGTGCTCTTCAATGCTGATTGGCATTCAACTTCTTATTTGCCAAGTGTTGTAAATCTTTGCACATGGCGCTAACATTAATTATGTTAGCGCTGATTCAGGGCATATCAGATTGTGCTGTTGCCTGTATATTACCTTAAATAAATAAATAAAATAAATAAATGGAAGTTCCTGGTACTGTGCCATACAATTTAGTAAACTGCAAGCATAATCACATGGCAAATTTCAGCCAATGCCGAATCTTCATTAAGGAGAAGAAATTTCAGGATTATTAATAAAGTCTCATTTCTGGAAGCAAGAAGGCAATGCTAGGTACAACACTCTTTGAATAATGTAACATCATCATGTGAGAATATGCAGAGCATTGTTGACAACTTTGCCATATTTTGTGCATCCAAAAGCATGCTTATTATTCAGAGGCAACTTGTCCTAGGTAGACTGTCTTGAAAGGAGGACTAAAAGAGTATTGAAGTTCTCAGAACCAAAATCTAGGTGCATACATTTCTGCAGGATATATCGCTTCCACAGCCATCTGAAGGTCTTTCTTGAGGGCCACAAATTTCCCTTTGTTGAAGTAGCAACTTTTTTTTTGTCTGACGTTTGATGAAAGCGTAACATTGGATTTTCTTCACCCTTTTAGTGGTATGTTTTAGGGAGTAGAGTATGTATGCAGTTGAACAGGTTACTCAACAGTTATGTGCTGAATTTTGAGAGCATTGTTGACTTGGCGTCTCTCCATTGATTCTCCTGTGTTTGAATCCACAATGCCGGTATTTGCATTAGCAGTGGTGCCAACCACAGATGCTGCATCAAATTCCCTTGGCTAAGACAGGAAAACTATGTCTGAAGAGTGGTTTTGATCAGTTCGTATGGTGAAAAATGATCATCCCTGGAAAATGCCCTCCTTGAAGATATCCTTTCTCCAAGTTGTAAACATTTATCTGGTAGATAGTATGCTGAGGTTCCTCCTACTGTCAAGTTCCATACAGTTTTCGTATGAATATGACTCTCGTGTGCCTTCCCCACGAATCTCTGTTCTCTCTTAGAAATTTCTCTGATCTCTATTAGCTTTTAGTTTATCCAAACTCTCCCAGTCAACTTCCTACTGATGGCCCTTCCCAAATTGACAGTGTTAGCTGGTGACCAAAAATTTGTGATTCACGAAATGATCCCAAGGTGTTCATAGAAAAATTTGCTGCCATGGCCATTTGTCTCAGTCAATAAATCCAGTCAGCTGCAAGGCTCTGTGCAAACATGAAAGCCGTGAAAAGTGGAACCCCCACAATTTAATGGGACAGAACTCTGTCACTGAGGATATTAAGCGTTCATTGTTAAACATGTGAAATTTTACAAACATCACTATAAAATACTAAAACTCTTGCTGCACACAAATAATTTTTTTTTAATAAAGTTTGCTCATCCTTGACAACTTTCCTCACCTCTACCCTCTCTGGAACCTCTCCTTTCCTCCCTTGTCTACATTTTTGTTGTTGTAAAATTTGTGTAAAACATTATGTGTGAATGATAATGCTGTCCTTTTTGTTGCAGAAAATATGAAAAAAGCAAACAGGTTATTCAAGGCTTCAAAAACAATGAAGAAGCACTGAGAGCAACTGTCAGTGACTATGAAACAGCTCTTAAAAAACAAGAGCAGAAATATGAAATATTGAAATCTCATGCTATGGGTCAGCTTGAAAGGTAATACAGGTCTAGTCGAGATCATTTGCGTTTTGTGGTTTATTGCACAGGGTAATTTGCTTCTTTATTCTAGTGCCAATCAAGAGCTCATTGCTATGCGCAGAACACATGAAGCAGAAAATTCAAAGCTGAAGGCAATGTTAAAAAAGGCTGAAATAAAAATACATTCTCTGGAGGAAACTTTGCAGCAGAAAATTAAAGAAAATCAAGAGTTAGTGAACATTTGTGATGAGTTGATTGGCAAAGTTGGAAGTAGTGAATAAATTGGTAAATAATCTTTAATTTGATGTATAAAATTTTTTAGCTTTTTGTAAATTGTGTACGCATTATAAATACTGAATGTAACACAGTGACACATTAATATTTTAATTTATATTTTTTGCAAAGATGATAGCTTATATGGAAAAGTTACTTTTCTAGTGTTAATTGGTAATGTAATCTAACTGCAGACATGTTTCCCCCATGTGTGTTGGGCATGTGTGAGTTATTTTGAATGGTGTCCCTGTTCTTGGGATCAAGTGCTCTTTAGAAGAAGTTAATATTTCCAACAATTATTGAGAAGGATTCTGTCAATATATGTGATACTTAAGAACTGGAGTGAATCATTTGGAAGCCAAATGTTGCTTTTAAATGCATATATTATGAAATATATTTTATCAAGCTATGTGTTATTATTTTATGTAATCAATATCTCGGAAATCCACAAGTCAAATTACTGTCAATTGGATTTATGCTTCCTGTCTACAACGGGAAAAAGTCATCAGAACAATATTCAATTGTATTAATAGATTCACTCATATTCTTAGTGTGTCTTTCTATTGTGTACATGAATTAAATGGTGCTCCTCTTTTAATAGATATTGTATGGTATTAATTATTCTTGACTAGTTGAATTTGGTATCACTGAGTTTTGCAACACATTCTCTTCCATTTGTATATAAGAGTTCAATAGATCTCAAAGGATATCCTCTTCCTGCCTTCTGTAAGAATTGTCTTCTAATAGTAATGCATCTTGAAGGTATTGTAGAATTTTTTTTTTTTCTTAGTGTCAGTCCTGCACCCTTTAGGCCAATGTGTACAATATTTGAAAATAACCATTGAATTGTTTGAATTTATCCATGTAAACAATATCTAAAAATTTTAAGAGGATTTTATGGGCAGGAGAGGCCAAGTGCTTGATGGCTTGTCACTCATAATAAATATTCTAAAAAAAAATTGTAAAATTCTCCATTTTCTCTTTGTGGTAGAAGATTTCTTGTACATTAAAAAAGTTATTCAATCCACTCTTACCATAATTGTATTTTGCTTCTCTCTGCATGTTCTAACTACATTTAAAAGTTTGTAACAAAAGCAGTACACTGACATTTTGTTTCTCAGTTAGAATGCTTTGTAACAATAGTGCATCTGGTGCTTCTGAGATTTCTTTTTATTCAAGATCTGGAATCTTACCTTAAAACATTCAAAGGAACAAAACTTCAGCTGGATAAGTTTTCCTATGACATAAAGACTTCAAAATAATTAATGAAGAAAATTAACAATAACGTCCATTAAAAAGAAAGGTAGATTTATAAAATTACATTCCTAATTTTTTATGGGAATGCGATTTTTATTAATGAAAATGTAAATAAATTCTTTGCTTGAAATAATAATCTAAATATCAAACGGTTGCTTACTTTAATATTGAAGAGTGTATGCGTAATGAATTCACATTGAAGATTTTAAACATTTTTATTTAAAAAATAACATTAACAACTTTTAAATAAAATGTATATGATTTGGTGTTTGTAATGTTGGAGACTTCTAAATTTGACCAAGCAAATTCATGTGTTGTCACAGTCTTGTCATATGCTTTGGCTGATACTTTGATTAAAAATTGATTGAAATTATAGATTAATAAGAATTGTATTTTAAAATGGAACTTTTACCTATTTACGTGAAAAAAAAGAGAAAAAACTTATTTGCATTAAAAAATAGATTTTTTTCTTTTCACGTGTGCCATTCACTTCCATTATATGACATACCTGCCTCCACAGTGTGTTTGGCAAGTTAATTCCTTTTTAGCAAGGCTTCTGATCTTCCAATTGTTTCATAAAATTCCCTGGTATTCACTTTTTCTATATCCAAAGAAGAGAAGAGAAAGAGAGAGTCTAGAGAAATCTGTTTTTATCAGGATTTCATGTCATTTCTTTCTCATCAGTCTTCACATTGCTACTAGAAAGAGTTTTGGTTTTCTGTGAAGTTTAACCTGGACAATATTGAAGAATTTTTCTTGCTGCTAGGCCTAATGCAGGATGAACTTCCTCTGATTCTTGAATTCTCCTTATATCCAAAAATGTACAACTATCTGAAACAGCTGGACGGTAAATGTTGGTGCACATGGCTTCATCACAGAAAATGTAAAGGTTTCTTTTTTTTTCTTGTTCCTTTTCCCATTCTTTACTACAGCTATGCTTTGTATAGTATCACTCTAAGAGTAAGTGAAAATTGTGTTGAAATATCATTGTTTATTTTCATTTTTTTTTGTTTGTTTGTGACATACATTGCTGAAATTTAATTAAAAAAAATAAATTTTTTTTTCTTCTTCAAGTGTAGATACTGCAGATAGAGGTCTATTTTCCCCTTCCATTCCCCAAACGAGAATGAAAATAATGCCATTGAAAAGTCGCATTTGCAAGAGATTTTCAGAAGGGCTAATACCATCTGTATCTCTATTGCTTTTTCTGTTAAGGCTTTTTAATATTGCTCTGTCCAAATGCACCTGTGATCACAATAGATGGTTGACCTTGCTCTTCAATAGAATGGTTTTGCAGTTTTTGTAAATAGGAAAAAAATTAGAGAATCCCAATACTGGCTAAATAGGTTCCAAGGTCAGTGTGAACCACAAGAAAGTGGCTCTCTCCTACCAACAATTAACTGAAAATTATTTTCAATGTCGCTTTAATTTACTTTACAAAGTATTAATAAAATGTAATATTTATGTTGATATTTTCAAAAATTGTACTGGATGCTTATCAAACAATATAGCATCCTTATTCATCTCTATCTCTAATCTTTGTAAGGATCAGAATTAATTCTTAAAACTTGGAAATTCAGTACTTATGAGGATAATTTCATTTGATACTTGAGTTTGTTGCATGCAGGGATACCAAATTTATTCTTTGTTTTATTTGTTACTACATACATAATCACAGGATAATTAGATCATATGGTACTTACTAAATCTTCATAGTTTTATGTACATGAATTTTTAATGTTATGTACATTGGTTTTAAAAGTAGCTTGTGTAAATTAAGATAAAATTGTTGTATGATGTAAGCAATGTTAGAGTACTTGCTGTCTCTTGCAAATTTCAGCCAGTGATTTATTTTTTTAATGATGCCCATTTTGTAAATTTAGTTTCACATCTCTTTTCTACTAGTAATGACTTATAAAAGGATGAGCATTTAAATAATCCTCAGAAATTGGAGACTTGCCTCAAGTGCATTATTGCGCCTTTTTAAGTTGAATGAACGCAGAAAATAAGATGATTTGATTATATAGAATTGTGTTGTATTATAATTAATTTTCAAAATTGATTTTACCTTACTCTGTACTTAATTATTTACCTTTCAATTTCTGCATTGAACATGACAGAAGAAGTAGACATACCTTGCTTGTGTTGAAAGCATATTGTGAGTAAATTGTAATTGATGACAGTTGTTACATTTTTAAACATTTATAGTCCATTTGGGTATTGCAGAAGGTGATGAATGACAAAAAATAATTCTACAACTTAAAAGAAATGCTGATGATGTACATTGGAAGGATATAAGAAAAAATAATGTTTGTAATGAAAACTAAGGATTCTTAAATGTAATTGTTATTGTTTCATGAATATGATTTAATTTTTTGTAAGGTTAATAAATGTCATCAAGTTATGTCAGTGACCCGCTTTTGTATTAAAATTAATTGTGTGCTTAAAACAGTATCTTGAAGTGAGCTTTGCATATTTCAAATGAGCTGTATTTATTTTAGCATTTAAAATTGTTTTGATATTTTACAATGATAAGTGTGAAAAGCAAAAGTTCAGTATTCCCAACCCATTGGTTCTGGGTAAACTATTAAAACATCATTTTTTTAACAAACTGTAAAACAGAGGTTTGGCTTATTAATGTGCATGTAGCTATGTGATTGAGTCAGTTTTGGAACTTACCATTTCTTTTATAGACTCATAACTTTCTCTTAATCTATAGAAACCCATTATCATTGGGCTGTTAATTGTCAGAATTTTCAATTAAATTCTTCATTTAATTCAATATGTTTATTAATTATACTGAAAAGAAAAGTGTCAGGTTCTTTCTGAATATATTTCCCATACTGATAAATAGGTGTTTTCTGTGGTATTCATAAATATGGGTCCATTTGTAATTTTTGCCTACAAGTAATTATAGATACATTAATTGTCTGAGTACATGTACCTGTACTCTGATTTTCTAAGGAAAAACGTTTTGCTTGAAAGGTAATTTTCTGTTGTTAAAAGAACTTGTCATGCATTTGTAAACAAGGAAATGACTTGCGAAGAATTTTTTCACTAATCATCAGCGAATGTAATTGTGTAATTGACATTGATGAAAAAAACATAACTAAGGTATTTTTCTTAAAAAAAAAATATTCTATCAAATATTTGAGATCCCAAAAAACCCATAATTACCGTCTTGAAAACTTCAGCACCCCAAAATATTTATATGAATTCATGTTTTTAGGGCACTTTTGTGCCTGCTGCATTGTTTCTAACCGCACCAGATGACAGTTTATATATACTCATTATATGCTCAATATTTTGTTATAGTATGACTTAAGGAATGATTTGTAGATCAGTTGGTGGGGCCATCTGTAATTGCCTAAACAGCAATTGTGGTGAGGGCATGTGGTATTTATTCTTGAAGATCCAAAGGAGCTCTCAGAAAGACCCAGCACCTGCAACTGAATGAGAAGTGTACCTTTTGGGTTTTCTGATGGTCATATTATGATGCTGGTCACGACAACTCACTTTTGTGCCTGGGCCTATGGATGTGGAGCCTTATCTTCATTCAACTCAAGGGCACTTCTGTGGCCAGTTAGAGAATAACTATACATTGGTTAATTTATTTTTGTGGATATTAGTAATTTTATTTTTTCTTACTGATTAGTTTTTTCAGTAACTGTATATGTAATTTTGAAAGTTACAGTTCTGTTCTCCTGCTTTTTCAAATGAAGCTAGATTGAGTAACAGGTTAAGGTTGCTTTAGTCATAAATGATAATGTTGCAACTTTCAGAACAGTTAATATTTATGTGATATTAATGGACGCCTTGTGATAAATATTCAGAAGGGAGTCCATTATCCCTAAAGTATGATGAATGTGTCTTGAAAAAAAATAATTAAAAAGTGAAAAGCACAAGTCCGATTTTAACATTTGCAAGGCTTTATGTGCAATTGTAGACCACTGCAGTTCAGAGTATTTTGCCCAATGCTCTACTTACTTACTAGTTAATTTTTCAATCAGGCTTCAATTTTTCATATGTACAGGCTTGTATCTAGGCAATTTTTTTAAAGAAGTACCTTTTATTGCGCAAGATGAAATGACATTTACAGTTAACTTTTATCTAAACACTTGTTCATAAGGTGCTAACTTGATGAGATTTTTGTGCCTCTTCAGTGACCGTAAAAAGGAAGATTTTGCATCTTCTAAGATTTCGTAATTAAGGTTTTGAAAAGGGATTTCTATGTAAAAGAATTTCAATGTTTCAAAATAATAGATGTGAGATGTGTAATTTCTACTATACACAGTTTTGGTAGATCAGTTTGTGGTTCTTACATTTATGTAACAGTTGACACCATCATATCGTAAAATATCAAAGAATTAAATGACATCCATTGGTTTAAAGAAGCTCTTATCTATATCATAATGAAAATGTGATTTGAAAAGAGTGTGTAAAATCAAATTTATTTTTATATATCTGAATGTTTTTGATTTAACTATTTATGTTCCACGATAACTATTCCACTGTTTCTAAGTGCTTCTGAAGTGAGACTGCTTCAAAAATATTTTATTTTCAAATTTTTTTTGTCCATATTTATGCTTTGCCTCTCAATGAGGTAAATTATAATTCATTATAATGAAAGTGAAGTGGTAAAAATACAATAAAAGTAATCTCAGGTGAATGCTAAACTTAGGTAGTTGTACCAACTGGCAATTTTCTATTAGCTTCATTAATTCTGAGCAATTAATATGTCATGTTGAAAATTCACATACATGATTGAAATTTTGGGATATTCAGTTATGTTCATTTCTTAGATATCTTGGTTTTTCTGTGATGTATGCAAAATAAATTGAAGGCAAGTTTCCAGAGGTTTTTCGATTTATTTGAGTAATTTTGTTAGAAATTGTTGTCATTCCTGATGTTTTCAGAAACTAGCCCTAAACTTTCAGTACAGTGACAGCAACACACATTTCAAGTAATTTCTGCTTTTTGAACATTTGTTGCTAAAATAATTTATCTTTTTTGATTTGGAGTTTATAAATATTTACAAATTGCTGTGTGATGTTTCAGAAGCCTACCCATATTTTTCATTTTTAAATAAAGTAGTTTCAGTTTTGGAGCACCTGTAAGATTTACGTATGTATATTTCAGAGAGTGATAGTCTGTGCAATCTGTGAGATAAGTAAGACTAGTATTCTGTGCATCATATGCATTTGTATTGTAGTATAAATAACATATAAAGTAAGAATACGATTTTCAAAATATATATTTGTGCAAATTCACAAGTACAGAATGACTATGCATGTACTATCTTCTGTGCATTGCACTTATTTATTAATAATGTACCATGTTTTCTTGCCTGATCCTGGGTGGCAAAACCTGGGTAATGAGATTTAATATTCTTAGTTGCATTGTTTTAACGTTTTTGTATAAAATTTTAAACATTTCAGTTCATTTTCTGCTGACAAGTTGAGTAAGAAGCCAGAATTGTGATTCTCAATAAAATCTCTATTTTTTGTGCAATATCTGAGAAAGTGCTGCATTGGTACTAATGTGGAAGGGAATTAAAATTGTTGACATGTGATATGTATTTTGACTACCTTCTTTCCCGACCTCACCAAGTCTCCATTATTTCTTGGTGGTTTTCTTTAGAGTATTTGAATTCAGTGCTCATTATTCAAACACAAAATGTGTGTGTTGGTACCGACATGCCGACATGGTTATATTTAGATTCATTGGGACTTATCTAATTTAAAAAAAACAAAACAACAACAAACCACCTGTCACATTAATGTGGTAAAAAGAAGTTGTCATGGTTAGAGTATGTTATTTGGATAGCATGAGATACTGTGCCCTAAGCAATTACACCAAAAAGGTTGCTATTTGTGTTTTTCAGTAGTGATGTGGATGTAGGGAGGGTGAAGGGTGATATGCTCTGGATTAGCATGTAATGACAGCAATTAAAAATTGTTTTGAAAATTATTTAATTTGAACATTTTAATTGAAAGATAGATGTGTGAATTTTAAAGATAATTTTATAAATTTATTTAATGCAAATGGTATATGAATTTTGGATGCTGGAATGTTCAAGGTTTAAGCACTTAAGTAAATGAGTTTTTAACGCAATAGAGGAGTTTAACATGGATATAGTGTTGAGTGAAACACAGAAGAAGGGAAATGGAAATGAAAGGAAAGGAAATTATGTTCACTTTTTTTAGTGGAGTGGGAAAAGAAAAGCATTCAAGAGCAGGGGTGTCCATAGCTGTACATAAAAGATTGGAGAAAAATATTCATAGCTGGGAAGCAATTGATGAGAGAATAGCATGTCTTGATCTAGTACTAAGAGGACGCAGTGTTTTTATTATAGGAATTTTTGCTCCAACAGACAATGCAAGTGTTGCAGAAGAATATATGTTTTTAGAGAAACTGACTATGCTGCTGGATTCTATTGGAAATTGCAAAAAAGTGGTGCTTCTAGGTGATTTTAATTGAAGAGTTGGAAAACAAATGGTGCATAATGTTGTGGGGCGATATGGTGAAAATGTATTAAATGACAACGGAGAAAGACTGATAGAGACATGTGATCTGTATGACCTTAAAATATTGAATGGCTATTTTTGACATAAAGAAATTCATAAATGCATGTAGACCCAGCCCTTTAGAAAACTGCCATCAATAATTGACTACATAATTACTAAACAACAGTCATCTATATAGTGGAGCGATGTTCGGGTTCAAAGAGGTGCGTCCTGTGGATCAGATCACTACTTACTAAAAGGAAAAGCATACCTTATGTATAAACTGTACTTCAAAAGTTACGGAAACACAAAACCAAATACAAAAGGTGGAAAAGTAGAGTTAGATGTGGCCGAGATACAATATTGAAAGCTTTGAAGATGATTCCATTGCATTTTTGTACAAATTGTGCATGGCAGAAAAATTAATGTATATCCCAATAGAAAATACTGAAGGAAAAATACCAATTTTTAGAAAAATGCACTCATAAACCTGCTAAAGAAGCTTTGGGAGAGAAAGGAAAAAGTGAATATAAACAAAAAGACTTGTGGTGGACAGAAGATAAAAAGAACCTGGTCGAAGAAAAGAAAAAGTTATATTTGAGATGGCTTTCCACAAAGGATTTAGAAGACAGAAGTGAATGTAACAGAATGAGATATTTGGTCAAGAAAAAAGTGAAGAAGGCACAAAATGTATTCTGGGAACAAAAATGTGACAGATTAGAAAGTGCATTGGTAACACCAAATCCAGAGAGGCATGGAAAATGTTACATTCCATGAAATTGAATACAACCCAAGAATGGCATTTAGTAGACCCAATTGGTATTGAAAAATGGCAAAAATACTATGAATATCTTTTGACAGAAAATATAACTAAATTTCTGGGAGTAAATTATGAACAACTGCACATAAATTCAATCACACCAGATGTGACTTTGGAAGAGTTAAAAAAAGTGTTAAGAAACATGAAAAATAATAAAGCACCTGGGTCTAGAGGTATATCCATAGAGCTGGTTAAACATTAGCCTATTGGAATTAATTACTGAAATATTCAGTGGCATTTTAAAAGGAGGTAAAATACCTGAAATACGGAAATTAGCTTATATAAATTAAATTTACAAAAAAATATTGTAATAATTATAGAGAGATAAGTGTGACTTCATCTTTGGTTAGACTGTATGGACGTGCACTAAATTGAAATGCAAACATCAGACTCAGAAGAGCAAAGTGGTTTTAGGCCAAGAAAATCCTGTATTGACAATATTTTCTGTCTCAAACAATTGAGCGAGGAAGATAACTTCACATAATTTTCATTGATCTCAAAAAGGCTTATGATAATGTACCAGTAAAACAAGTATGAGGGGCAATGTAAGAAAAAGGAATATCAACAACATACATAAATGCAGTCAAACAACTTTATAAAGATAACATAAGTCAAGTAAAAGTGGGAAAATATCTATCAGACAACTTCCCAGTAAATAAAGGATTACGGCAAGGGAGATATCTCCAACCCTGTTTAAGATAAACATTGATAAAGCCCTAAAAGAATGGAAAGTGAAGAAGCATGGGTGTGAAAATAGGTGATGAAACATTGTTTAGTCTACTATTTGCAGACTACCATGTGATAATGGCTGAAGATGAAGATGATGTAACTTATATGTTCAGAAAATGAGTAGAAGAGTATGAAAAATGGGGAATGGAAATAAATGTACAAAAAGCTGAATATATGGTGGTGGGAGGTATGCCCCATGATTTAGAGACTAATATAGGAATAATTAAAGGTAATACACAATATAAGTATTTGAGAGTCACACTAACAGCAGATGGTAGAGACGAACAGTATTTGAAAAATAAAAATATAAGAGGAAAAATAGCCACAAGACAGTTGAATCCTGTGCTATGGAACTCGATTATTTCAATGAAGACAAAGAAATGCATATATGATAAATAAATAAAGATGTCTGGTATCAATACTTTTTATTCAGCTTATGATCGTTTCGATCGCATAGCGATCATTGATCTCAGAGCTGGCAGCTTCCGGGACGAAAACAAAGCTAGCTCTGAGGATCGCTATGCGATCGAAACGATCATAAGCTGAATAAAAAGTATTGATACCAGACATCATATTTATTTATTTATCATAATAAAAAGGTATCTCCCTCACCAACGATCTAATTAAAAACGCATATATAGCTCTTTCATAGAGAGTACCACACTACGGGGCAGAAGTTTGGACACTAACAAAAAAATTGAAAGACAAACTTCAATGAACAGAAATGATGTTCTAGCGAAGATGTAAACTTTCTCTGTTAGATAAAGTATGAAATGAAAGTGCAAACAACCTTGAACTAAAGAATCGAAATGAAACGACTGAAATGGTACGGGCATATGAGAAGGTTGAAATCGGATAGACTTCCACAAAAAGTTTGGGATTGGATACCAAATCGAAGAAGATACAGGGGAAAACCAAGAAGAACATGGAACATGGCTATAACTGAATCCATGGAAAAAAGAAATAGATGAAAACGATCTATGGGATAACAAGGCATGGAAATTGGGATGCGGAAAACGGCCAAGGCTGTAAAAAAACCGCTAAATTGGTAGATTTAATGCAGGGGCGGATCCAAATTTAATATTTAATGGATATTTTAAGGTTTGAAATTAAAAATAGTAATTCGTTATTAAAATTGTTGAATTCAGAGCTGCAAAACGACAAATGTCAGAGATATGATATAGATATGAACAGAGAGAATTGAAATAAAAACACATGATATTTATTTACAAATTAAACCTTCATTTAGGTACAAACATTATTGTCCAGGACTGAAGAAAGTCAACATAATTTCACAAAATGTCTCAAACCTCTTCTACTTTATCGTTAATTAGATATTTCTCTTTTCTTCTTCATCTTTTTAGCTATTTTCTTTCTCTAATTTCTGTCTTAGTACACAATTAACCGCGCCGTCTCCAGGTGCATGTAAGCGATCCGTGCCCTATTCTTTTGTTTCGGGCACACCGTATTTGCGCGAAATGACAGCGGGTCCATGATCACTGGCTTGGCAGAGAGAGGAGAGAAAGAGAGAGAGAGAGAGAGGACAGGACGAGAGAGAGAGAGAGACGCAAACATACCTTACTCCGTCAACACTTTCCGGTTGCGCCGGCCACACTCCAATACTGGAAGTCGCCTCCGCAGCACCGGTTGTCAAGAGATGTAAGAAAGGAATGAGCTGTCACAGCCTCCGGGGGACAAACCAAGATATTTTTCATACGCACCACTGGGCTAAAATACAGCGAGAATCGGGATTCCCATTCGTAACTAAAAGCCCAAGGACAGAACGCGTGGTTATTTTTTCGATATTTTAAACGTTTCTACAAGTGTTTCGCGTGTTTCTCATTTTTATTTTTCATGCACTTTTACCATTACCCTCTCCTTTAGTCTATTTTTTTGGCGGGGGGGGGGCTTGCCCCCCTCCAGCCAAACTGCAGTTTTATCAGTAACATATCCCACAACTTAAATTACGCACCTGAACTTGTTTTGATAAAAATACGTAATTTTTCTTTGCTTTTGAGGGCATTTTAAAATAATTTAAGAGTACTTTATTGATCATTTTTAGCGACGTTTTAGGTCATCAAAATCCGCTCCTTAATTATATTTCGCCATCCTAGGGATACTTAACAAATGGCCGACCGTGAGTTGAGGGTGATAGGTACATTAAGATAGTTTTTTTATTTAAAATGTTTTGGTCGAATATTACAGATTATGTAGAATGACGCAGGATGAACTCGGCTCTCGCTGCGATACGATTTTATTCGTTTTAATGATTACCCACAAATATTTTTACGGAGTAGAGAGAAAGTTATCTAATGCTGTACGAAAAAATGACGAATTTCGGCAGAAAAACTGAGGCCCTGTGAACGAAAAAGTGGATAAATCCGTTTCCTAAATTTAGAAAAAAATCCTCTAACACTTGGTGTAGCAAGAATCTGTTTTGTGGGTCCTTGAAACCGTAAATCGAAAGACTGCAAAACATCTGTCTGTGAACAACGCTAGCGGCTAAACCGATCAGCCGATTTTCTCCGAAGTTGATATTCCCCAATCGATCTGGCTGATGGCACGGCCCCTGGAATTTGAAACTGATATTTCGACATTGGGGGGTACTTTACATATATCCCCTGGGAAATTTTTCAAACTTTCAACAGAAAATATACTTCATCGTTTTTGATTTATTTTCTTTGTTAGCGTGAAGAACGTTTAAGAGAACGGAGCAGGGCTCATGTTCGTTGAAAAATATAATTTTTGGAAAATTGCAAAAATTGAACATTTTTTCGGAATCTTCCTACAACAAAAATATAATGATAGAGATTTTTCCCGTAATGAAGTGTGTTCCTTAAAGATAGATTTTGAAATAAGATCATGAATTTTTATTTCGAAAATGTGAGTACTTTTCGCGTTATTTGGCGTGTAAATACGGGCGAGAAAGTACGTGGGTTGTTTTAACACCACTTGTTACTTAAAAGTTTCGTGGGAAGTTAAAAATAATAGTTATTGAATTTTTTTGGGGTAGGGGGAATTCCCCTCATCCCCCTCTCCCCGTGTATCCACAC